TTTGGTTGCCACCGCGACCTCTTCCTCCACTGGTGTTCCATTTGCCCTCAACCTTGAGTGCATGTCCCTCATCCTCGTGTCTTGTTAGTTTCTGCTCGTGCACCAGCAGCGAGCTCTGCAACTCATCCACTGAGATATCAGTGATGTCCTTTGATTCCTCAATAGCACACACCACGTATGTGTACTTCTCCACCAGAGTCCTGAAAATCTTTTCAACAATCTTCGAGTCTGGCATGTTCTCTCCAAGGCTCCTCATATCATTCGCCACAACCATGACTCTTGAGAAGTATTCTGTGATGGTATCGCCCTCTTTCATTTCCAACACTTCAAACTCCCTTCTCATTCTCTGCAGTTGTGCGTTTTGAACCTTCTTATTCCCTTGATACTTCGTCTTCATAAAATCCCAGATCTCCTTAGATGTATCCTTCTTTGCGATTGTCTTCAAGATTGACTTATCGATAGACGCAAAGAGATAGTTCTTTGCTTTGAGATCTTTGAGCTTTGCTTCTGCAAGCTCCGTCCGTTGTGGCCCGGTCAGGATCACATTCCTCTCTGGCTGCACCACGCCAGTCTCTATGAGTTCCCACCATTCCTTGGATCTCAAGAGATTCTCCATGAGCATTGCCCAATGCTCGTAATCACCATCGAACTTTGGTATACTCATTCCATCTTTCTCACTCATTGTTTCAGGATTTGTTTTTGCTCTGATACCACTTGTTATCAGAAGTTTCAGAACGATTGCAGAACTTAGCGTTCAACTTGGTTATTTTCATTAACTTAGGATCTCTTAAATAGATCAAGTTTACAACGCAACAAGAAAATAACAAACTCCGAAATAAGCTCAACTAACTACACTACCTCCTTCTCCTACGTGAGTGGAGACTTATTCAAGCAAAGACTAGTTCAAACTTAGAATTAAAAAAAGAGAACAACTTCAACGGTCTTTTGACTTCACTAACCGATTTCACCATCAGCCTGAAGTCTTGAAGTATTGTTGGTAAAACATGGTGGAATCTGAGTCTTACATCGGTTGCAGTGGTAGTAATGAAGATGATACAGGAAACGGAGGGAAACGCGTATCAGAGGCCACGTCATGGACAAAGATCTTTTATAAATATTTATCGTTATTTTATATTACTTTCTTATTCAAGTTGTTATAAAAGGATTGTAAAACTTTGGGAAAAAGGCAATCAGAATAGTTTCAGAAAAATATTCTCTCTCTTTTTCTCTCTTGTTACGTCGCTCATTGTAGCCGAAGAATCCCTTCTTCCTTGAGGATTCTTTTGCAGGTGAGATCAGGGTTGATGTTTTATGAACATTTATCCTCTGCCAGCTCTGTTTCAGAGTTTAACGATTTTGTCTCTGATGTAGCCATATAAAACCGTCAACCGATATAATTTCTATCAAACAGTTGTGGTGGAAATTCTCTCAAGACATTCCAAGTTTTGTCAAATGAATTTGATATTGTGTGGATCCAAAATCCACACTCAAGAATTTGAAGTAGTTTTGTGAATAAGGGAAGATGGACAAAAATATCAAGAAAGCACAAATATGTAAATAAGACAATTTTGATATGTAATATCACACAAAAAGAATAAAACAGTAATTCAAATTGGAATCTTGTTTTTTTTTTTTATTGAGTTTGGTAAAAATACAACTTTGTTAATTCGTCAGAGATTGACAAACCAACTGGGAGTTGGAAATAATTCAGGATAAAAAAAGCTCTAAGTTTTTAGCTCTCAGTCTTGAAGTCTCTCTCGATTTTTCTATGTGTGTCGAATGATGACTTCTCCTTCTTTTATAAGGTCTTTAGTCGGTTTCGCGGGATTTTTCTTTTCCCTTTTAATTTATAATTTTTTAGAGAGTTTCTTTTTCTCTAGGTTGATAAAATAAAATTATCCTTTTATCTCGCAAGGTTCCGCCGACCTCTTCTGCCGGGCTCACGTAGGCCCAAAGGCTTTATTTGGTTCAGTTTTCTCGGTACTTACCATCGTTAATCATGATTAATTGGGTCCATCTTGATTCATATTGGACTAAACCAGAGGTACGGTTTTCACCTCCAACAGACAAGATTTAACGAACTGGATTTGTATTAATGAATATGAGATTACAGAGTGTTTAGAGAGAGCTTATAGAACGTACAAAGTCTCGAATGAGTAAAAGGTGATCACTACGTTTGGTGCAGGCTCCTTTTTACAGTCCCGTCTTCGTATTGAACTATCCTATGATCTTCGGCTTAACATGTTTCATCCGATCCTAGATCCTTGCGATTTCCCTTGATCTTCTTTTGACTCAGCTAGCATTTTGTTAGAATGAAATTTGCCGTGTTGGCTCGTACAAGAGATCTGGGTTTCAATACTGAATAATTGACATATCATTAGATCATAAATGAGCTTTTTTTTTTGTCGTCAAAAAAAAAAAAAATCGTCTATATAGTCTATATCAGACTGAAGATGAAGAAGCTACATGTATTCTTTTCTTATTCGTCTATATAGTCTATATTGACTTTCTAATCAATATCGATAAATTGGTTGTGTTTGTATGTTTTATGACTAAATTATGTGATCCTGATTAAAAATTAACAACTATCTATACTATTAAAACATACACAGTTAGACTCTGAAAAAAAAATTAATTATTACATCTAAACACTTCTTATTCTATTTATTTTTTTTTTGGAAAACTAATTTAATATTAACTCAATTTTTTTAAAAAATCTGTTAATGATCCAGATTTTTTCTGATTTTGTTTAGAAACTTCCATAATAAAAAACGAAAAATAGTTTTAGTATTTTATAATTATTATTATAATTTGTTTTACATAATATAAATTCATATATAATTTTATTATTAGAGTTATATTTAATACAAGAAAATTTTAATCTATAAAATAAATTATATATAAACATAAAATAAGATTTATAGAAATTATATTTATAAAAATCAATTATATCTAAAACATAAATTATATCTAATATACAACACATAAAAAAAAATTTCCTCTATCCAACTATTACATCACATTTGGCCGGTCGGATGGGTGATGTGGGGATCCTCCTCGACCCGTTCGGAATGATGAATTTGGGAATAAATTTGTCCTTTAGCTCGAGCTCCTTTTGCAAGACTATCAACTCAGACATTTAATCATTTAGGGATATATGATAGGTTGAAGACTACATAGCTCTCCCGAATGAGGCGGAATGATTCCAATTCTGACATGAACACGGCCAATCCACAGGAGTTTCGACCATATAGACGAGGTCTGAACAATCGGTCTCAAAGTGAACTGAGGTTATCTGTTTCTCTTTCAGATATAGCATAGCCCATAGTAGGTTATCCATCTCGGCATGAAGGACCGAGAGGCTTCTATGGAAACCCTTCTGTCCACAAAGCTCGTTTCCCCTTTCATCCACAAAACTCCACCTGAGGCCACTCACCAGACCCTGATTGATCCAGTAGGCAACAATTTGGCATACCAGCAAGCGCTGATCCTCGGTTAGAGCTATCTGGGACGGGGGATGACATGTTGTTTCAGCATCTTCTTCCTCGTCCTCTTCCGGTTTGCGATCCTCCAGTTCTTGGCTTCAAGCGTTGCTTTCGTTAGAGTGTCGCAAGGGGACACCTCTTTCCCGGTAAAGACCTTGTCGTTTTTTGCTTTCCAAATAAACTATAGGATCCAAGGATATAACTCCTTTTGGGGATCCATCATTCCTAATTCTTTGGTTTTCAAAAGAGAAAACTCATACTTTGGTAAATAGAGATACTAGGGAAGAAGCCCGGAAGAGACGAGAAGTCTGATAATGCCCAGACTTATAAAGTCGGGGGACGTAAAAACAAAAGGTGGTTAATGGACTCTTTCAAGTCCAAAGATATTTCCGTACGGATACAGATGCAAAGATAGGATTATAATTGTTGTTAAAGAAAAAAGGGAGAATTGCTTTTATAATGTCAATTGAATTAACATTTGTCCCCTTAATGTTTTCTATTTTTTTGTCACTTTTTGACATAGTTACCCTTTTAAATCTGTTATGACAGTTATAATTAGAAGTAAATTTGAAACTATATTTTAAAATTTTCAAAAATACCTAAAAAGGAATTGGAAAATTTTTCAGATATCATTTATAGAAATGTTTTTTTAAATTTCATTCTACGCTTGGTAGAATGCATGGTCTATGTTTTACATCCACGTAGAATTCTATTTCTATAGTTTTTCACATATTCTATCAGCCTGTAGAATTCGTTTTCTATAGGTCTTTATATATTCTACGTTACGGTAGATTACAAGTTCTACTAGATAGACTATATTCTACATGTTGGTAAAATATATATCTTCTATCTGTTAGATCAGGTTCTATGTTATTGTAGAACGGTTCTTCTACCTATTGATTTCATTCTACATTAACGTAAAATACATCTTCTACCAAAATCTGAGAAAATCTAAGAAAATTAGTTAACTTCCAAATCTAAAAAATTTTGAAAATCTTTTTTTTTTTAATTTTCACTTTTTTATCAGTTTTTGATTTTTTTTTTGCTGTTATCGTTATTTTCTTCTTCTTTCACATTGATCAAGCAAAATTTTTTTAAGTTTATATATCTTCTGCTTCAAACATGCTATATATTTATGTTATTTGTGGTTCATGAAAATCAGAGACAGGTAAGAAATATAATTTATGGCTGATGCAGAAAAACTAGCTATCTATGAAGTGTTTTTATGTTTTAGTAGAAAGTATTTTCTACTTGTTTTCTTTTATTAATAAAATATTATTTTAAAATTAATTAATTTATTAATTTGTAATTAAAAAATATAATTAAATTAAATTTAAATTAAATCTTGGACAAAATTTATTTAGAAAATATTCAAAAGACAAATATTTATTCAATTGACAAAGTCATTTTCCAAAAAAAAAAAAGTATGTATAGTGTGAAAAAAAGGTTAGAAACGTTTTATCTTAACGCTAATTCCTAAATTGCTGTAATATAACCCTACATTGCTCCCCGAATTTGAGAAGTCTCGTCTCGTTAATATCGTCGCCAATGTCGTCCCCAGAGAAGAAGAAGAAACTGTTGCTTAATCCATTGCAGTTTCTCCCACAATCAACGCCAAATCGTAGATCTCTCGTCTCGTTAACTCCGTCGTCGATGTCTTCCCCAGAGACGAAGAGAAAGAAACCGTCGTTTCTCTCACAATCGACGCCAAATCTGTCACTTCCCGATGATTTGCTCCTTAGCTGCTTCGCACGGGTCTCGAAATTGTACCACCCATACCTCTTCTTAGTCTCCAAGAGCCTTCGTTCTCTCCTTGCTTCACCGGATCTTTACAAGACGCGTGCCCTCTTAAACCGCACGGAGAGCTGTCTCTATGTGTGCTTAAGGTTCCTTCCTGACCCTAACCCTAACCCTCGATGGTTTACTCTCTCCCGGAGACCTAATCGAACCCTAACCACGAAGAAGAAGAAGCCAAGTGACCATCTTTTGGTTCCATTCACATCTCCCCATTATACTCCTCTTCGGTCGAGCTACGTCGCTGTTGGTTCTGACATCTACGAAATTGGTGGACTCATCAATGGCGTGCCTTCCGCTAGGGTCTCGATCCTAAACTGCCGGTCTAACACGTGGCACAAGGCTCCAAACATGGAGGTGGCGAGGGAGCACCCACACGCCATTGCTATTGATGAGAAGATACTTGTTAAAGGAGGACTTAGACTTCAAGACTCGAATTTACCCAAGTGGATAGAGGTATTCGACCCGAAAACCCAAACTTGGATGATTGTGCCATTTTTATCTGATTCTAAAGACTGGAAATCACCTGATGGGGCTGGAATGGCGTGGCAGTCAGCTTCTAGTTGCGTGATAGATGATGTGTCGTACAATTATTGTGAGGGACTGTTCAAATGGTTTGACGAGAAGGTAAGAGAGTGGAGGATCTTGAAAGGCATGGAAGGACTGCCTAAGTACCTTTTTGGTCGGAATAATACTTCTTCTCATGTTCAATTGGTGGATTATGGTGGAAAGATGGCGGTTTTGTGGGATAGGCATGATAGTTCTAGTAAAAGTCAGGGGAGGGTGATTTGGTGTGCGGAGATATCGCTTGAAAGGTGTAATAGTGAAGAGATTTCGGGGACAGTCGAGTGGTCTGAAGCTGTGCTTAAAGCCTCCTCTTTTGCATTCGTCCATGTTCTTGCCGCTACTCTTTGATGAAAGATCACTGAGATGTGGTGGTATTTGGTAATGAGTATTATAATCATTTTGTTTTCAATCTAGTGGATGACTTGGGTCATGTTTTAAACTTTGTTAAGATTTTTAATGGTTAACTTATATTTTTTAAATGCAATTCAAACACTCTTTTGGTTTGAATATCTTGGGTTGCTAGATTCTTAGGAAAAAGAACTATATAACAAGATACTTACTTGAAGAGTGTTCAGTCGTCTATTAAACAAACAAATTGGACTGCTTCATGATTCCATGAGAAAAAACAAGGGTTTTGTTGTTCTTTTGAAGAAGTTTCTTAGTGATCGCCCATCACTTACTCTTTCGTTTGATCTAAAATCCAAAGATTTCCCCACAATATCACTCTTGTAAACTAAAAAAAAAAAGAAGCTATAACTACTCATACCATTCTCTTCTTTGTAGTTGCAAAGAGACTACTCCCTAGCTCTCGTAATGATTTATTGAATAAGTTGCAGAATTATATATGGTGTCTTGCTTCTTCCCTCTATCTCTGCTCTGGTACGAGGAAAAGTAGACAAATTGATCTAAGAATTATTATTAAAAATTCAATTTTAATTGCAAGTACATTTACGTTTCTTCAGGCAACCATTGTCTGCATTATTCAACAGTAAAAAATAGACATAGACAAAGCTTATAGAGGAACATCATCCGGCCAGAAGATAATATACCTTTATTCATGCACTTACAAATCTGTAACCAAAAGAAACATAAACCAAAGATCTGAATATCTTCCGATAATTGGTTTAGGAAGAAACTATGTGACTTTAGCTTGTGTTATGGTCTTTATGGACATAGAATTAGCAAGTGTTCTAAAATAAGTTATACACTAGATGTGCGGTAGAGAACCGTATAGTCTACATAGACGTATGAATGGCCGTATATGCCGGAATGATACAACGAATGTCCGCGTGTAAGAAAGGGTGATCTTTCTTTAGCGTTTTTCCCATTGGAAAGTTAAGGATTCTGTTCCTAGAGCCTATGTCTACTTGAGTGCTCAGTTCTTTGGAGTGGAAGTGATAGTGTGGTTGCATTGCGTTGGTCTAGCTCTTTTGTCTTCTTCCTGTCCGGAGTAGTGGTTGGTGGTGTATACAGTGCCGGACCAATCAATTTAGATGTTATAGTCCAAATTTTAAAATATCTAATTTTTAAAAATAAAAGATAAGAATTTTTTTTAACTTTTATAGAATATTTTAACTCTATCAATAGTTTATAAGTCTATAAAAAACAATAAAACTAATATTTTGTTGTTGAAATATGACTCTCTTTGTGATGGGCTTCAGGGTCGCAGGTCTTTTACAAGCCTGTTGGTCCGGAGTTTTAAATTTATAAAACCCAAATGTCTAAAAGTGCACAGATGTATGTTGTACGACTTAAGGTGTCGATCCACATGGAATATGTCTAATCTGCAAGGAAACACCAAACTGGTATAGTAAGCGAAATCATAAACTCATGGGGGTTTTGGGGTTTTTGGTTACGGGAACTAAAACTAAGCGTAAGCTAATATTTACGGGAAACTAAATGCAATGCAAATAAGTTTCTAAAGAAATATTTGAAAGGTGTTCGATAAAAACTAAGGATCTAGACTCATATGGGACGACTTGAACTTCTGCGGTTTACCCTAATCGATGTCTAATCATTTTCAATTAGTCTCCGGACGATTTATCCTTATCTATTTCTGGGATCTGCATGAAACTGGAATAAGCACATGTATGGCTAACCAACTCTCGTCCTTAACCAACTATTCACGTAAATCTGGCAATTAACTCTCGCTCTCATGTCAGTAATAAGATCATGCATTTACTACTGAATTCGTTTGCTCACATCTTCTCTACATGTAACTTTCGACTCCTGTAGCGGCTATGTTCTTCTAAAGCTAGGTACGGATGATCTGATACAACACTCTTGTGGCTCTGATCGATCCTAAGCTCAGAGAATAGGTCATGAATTTATCCTCATCAGTATAAACAACTTAAAAGATATGAGATCTAGAATATGGTTTAAAAACTTAGAGATCCTAATCGAACATATACTCTTATCGATGACTCTTTAGAAACTTGACTCTCTGGGACAAATATACATGATGCAGGAAATGATAAAAGACATGAAAGAATGCATAAGATGAAATAGAAAAGCTAATTAGATAAACAAGAGAAATAACAATGGATCCACAGAAGAATCCCCTTCTCTATCGCCTAACCCTAAGAAAACAAAGTTTAGTGGCTAAAAAACTCTTTACAGAAGCATACACCCGATTAGGACTGCTAAGAAATGTATTTATAGGTCATAAGGTCTTCCAGGTCATAAGGTCTTCCAGGTCATAATTAGGGTTTCTCTGAAGAGGAATGACGAAATGGGCTTTGATGTTGGGCCTTGTGGCTCGATATAGGTCCACCGCGGGTGAGAGTCTTCCGGGGCAGGTGAAATGCTTGTTTGCCACGGGTGAGAGTCTTCTGGAACTGGTGAATTTTGCAACTTGCTCTTCATGTATCTTTTGATTACACTGTTGGATTGTCCTAATGTAAAGTGTTATGGAAAGCTGGTTGTCTCCTCTTGAATGTCTCCAAATTTGAGATGGATCATATGGTGAGAAGGTCTTCATTTGAGGCTGAACCTCTGACGGTCTGACTCTGGGCTAAAAAATTTGAATTTCTTCTATTTTGCCATCTTTTTTCCCAAGTTTCCTTAGAAAAAGCTTTGAAACTACAAACATAGAGAAATCATAATAAAAGTTTCTAAAACTGATTAAAACCTTTAAAAAAGCATTTGACATCAATGGTGAAAATGAGTCAAAATACGGTGTTATCAACTCCCCCAGACTTAGACTTTGTTTGTCCTCAAACAAAACAAGATCCAAACTGGAAAAATATCATCAACAGTAATCATAGGGAACTCAAAAATATCACCAACCATACTTCTAGACCTTAGTTAGAGGCAATGCATCAATCAGATGAAGTCTAGAAAATTCTCACCAAAATACAAACATAACTAATCCGTTAATCCGTTATGCGAAAATCCACACACTTAGAACTAACTTCTAGTCAACTAGCTCTTAACATGCATTAAATGTTTCAGTGATTCTCATCAGAAGGATATTAAACAAGGCATTCCAGGCTAGGTATTCAGGGGCTTTTCAATGGTGAGGTTTGATGTGTTTAAGGTTACCTTTTTCTAGAGAGACAGAATACTATGGGAAACAGCAAGAGAGGATGGAGTTGTTGATGTTCACAATTTCTAGTCACATTCTTCTTGCTTTAAGATTTCTGATCTCCTTTCTTCAGGCTTTCCTTATAACTCCCCCGGACTTGGATTTTTGTCCAGGTGGTGTAAACCATAATTCCATAGATGAATACTTGTTTCCTTGGCTCAAATAATTTCGGCTTCTAAAACTCTCTAGGCTTTTGCTTTCCTTTCCTTTTTTTTTCGTTTATCTTTTTTTTTCAATTTTTTTTCTGGAAAAGGGAAACCACTTTTTGACATAAAGTCTTAGGGAGCATGAAATTTAAATTTAAGAACTCTTTGAGGCATCATGAGGCTTGATAAGATTGCATGGTACACTTACTTCCTGATTACATTCATTCCTTCTCTTGAGTGATAGAAAACTATGTTGTTTCTCCCTCTCCGGCGTTTTTGCACATATTTGCCGACATAAAACTAAAAGAGAATGCATGAGGTTTGAACATAAAGGTTTGGGTTAAGGGTAAGGTACCAGCTAAAGATGAACTGGTTATCTAGGACAACAAAGAGTGGCAACAATAAGGTAAACATGGCCTAAATGTATATCATGATGCCTTCCTAAAACCAATGATGAGAAAATTAGATGTCAAAATTAGGTCCAAGTAAAATGAGCTAATATATCATTTCAGAAAATATCTCCATGAATAGAAGTCTTCTGGTGAGATTTTGTAGTGTAGGTACTCTAGCTACCGCCTAGTCTAGTACTAAACCTTGAAAGAGCTTTTTATGAACGAATGGTGTAGTAGCAAACAGATTGGTTATCATCATCGATTTTGTCATTATTCTCTCAAAACGTATTTGACCTTTGAAAACACATTTTGAAACTCAAAAGAGTTTGAAAAGTATTAAGAAAACCAAAAAAAAAAAATTTGAAAAATTATAGAGAAAATTGTAAAATGCAAGGGCTCATGCAAGAAAGAGTGGTCAGTAAAGGATGGAATCCTCCCCCAGACTTAAATCACACTGTCCCCAGTGTGAAGTAAATCAGGCAAGGATGAGAAATAGAGTATGTAAAAATTTAAAAGATAAAAGAAAGGAAAACTTACCTGGTGTTGGTGATGGATTGTGAGGTGACTGTAGAGGTGATAAGATGTTGGATGGTGGATGGTGGTTGATGTAGAATGGTGCTTGATGAAATGGGGGCTGATTTGGATCAAGGTAGAGGTGGGAGTGGCCAAGGTTGGCCGAACTGAGCTTGGCTGCAGGCCAGGTTCTAGCGGACGCAGTAAAACTTCTTTTGGCTGCGGCTGAAGGCTCCTTGGCCGCGGTCAGCTCCTTTTTCTTCTTCTTTTTTTTTTAAAAAATTTTGTTTTGATGCATACTAAGGCCTATAATAGAATAAAAACAAAATTTCAATAGAAAAAGAAAGTAAAAGAAAAATAAATAAGTACCTAGATAAGTTGCCTCCTATCAAGCGCTTTGGTTTATAGTCCCTAGCTAGACTTTGCAAAGAATAAGATTTAGTTCAAATAAGATCTTTTCCTAAGACAAGTCTTTTTCGAAATCTTCATGTTCTCTCTAGCAGGTTCTTCATCACTCTAGATTTCTTCTGGTTCGAATTCTTGTGCTTTATGCTTTCTTCCTTTGCTCTTAAGTGGTGTAGCTTCATAGAAGATATCCTTGTCGATGTTTGCAAAAGAAACTCTCCGGTTGGGCCAATACATGATGGCTCCAGCAGTTTCTAAGAAGGGCCATCCAAGGATAACTGGATATGAGTCATCTTTGGTCTTCACTATGTAGAGATTGACCATACACATGCACTCCATCAACTAATATTTGTTGATACTAAAACGGTCGTCTTATTGTGTTGATGAGGAGAAAAATGAAATTGAACGATAAGGCAAAATATGATGATGTATGAA